AATTTTATATAGTAAAATTTAAGAAATAATAATTGAAAAAAGTTATTATTAGTAAAAATTTTTTTATAAAAGATATAATAAAAATTTTTACATTAATAAATTTCAATACTTAATAACTTAATTAAATAAGATAGAATTAAAATTTTATTTTTAAAAAATAATTTATTAATATTTATCTGATATATAAATCTTTTTCTACTAATCCATATTAATCAATTAAAAATATAATATTATTTAATTATAAGTATTAAAAATCTTTTAGATTTTAAAAGTAATATAATACTTGATAATTTTTTAATTTAATTAATTATATTATATATTATAAACTTAAAAAAATCTATTATTTATATAATTTTTATAGATTTCTGAATATTATTTACTTAAAACTGATTTATTATCTTTAATAATTACAAAAACTAATAGCAAAAATATTTATATTATTATATTTAATATTAAATAAAATAATCTTAATTTTATATATATATATATTAATATAAAATTAATAATATTTTATAATCTTTTATTTATCAAATTAATATTTTAAATATTTATATTAATTATTATATATTAAATAATAATATACTTAAATAAATATATTCTTTATTTAGTAAGTTAATAAGTTATTTTTTTAGTTTATTTATCTTAATATATAATAAATAATAAGTAATATATAATAATATTTTTAATTTAAATTATATAACTAATAATATATTTTGATAATAATTTATTAGATAAAGATTTAAAAAAGATTTTTATAAATTCTTTAATTAATTTAAAAGCTTAATAATACTTTTTAATATTCTTCTTTTATAATAATATAAATTATAAATATTTTGATTTTATTAATATATTTAATAAATTATTATCAAGATATATAAATTAAATTATAATTAAATATAATTATTATATTATTAATATTTAATTTAATAACTTTACTTTTATAATTAAAAGTTATAAAGTTATCATATTAATAAATAATAAAATTAATAAGATAAAATTATAATTTATTAAGTATAAGCTTATAATATTAAATATTTAAAACTTATATATTAATATTAAATATATAATATATATCTAACTTGACTTTATTAATATTATAGTTATTAATTTTATATTAAGTATTATCAATTAATTTTTATAAATATAGTTTTTATTAATAAAGATATAATATATTCTATTATCAAGCAAGATTTAAATAAACTTTTTATTTATTTAATTATTAAATTTTAAAGCTTTTTATAATTATCTTTAAAATATATTAAATTTAATATTATTATTTTATATTATACTAGTATTAAAATTATTATTTTCAATATTATTTATTTTGATTTTTTTTAAATTAGTAATCTTTAATAAAATAATTTATTTTATTATAATTATAATAAGTTTAATTATTATTTTCTTTTTGATTATTATTATTTTGATAAATTTTTTCAATATAATCTAGTTTTATAGAAATAAGATTATTATTATTATAAAATAATAATTAATTTCTTTAAACTTCTAAAAGTAATTACTATTTTCAAGAGAATAATCTGAATCAAATATAATAATATTATATTAAATAAAAAATTTTTATAAATTATAAGTTTTTCTAGTACTTAATATATAACTTTTATCTTTATTATTAACTTCAAATTATTAATAAAATATATTACTTGATTTAGTTCATCTATATTTTCAATCTGATTAACAAGACTTCTAAACTTGATATTATATTCTTGAACTACATTAGTTTATTATAGCTAATATAATTATTAATAAAAATATTATTAATAATTAGATAGTTAAAATATAATATCCTTTATTGAAATTTATTCTATAAAAAATCTGAAAATATATAGAAAGTTATCAAAAGTATTACATATTTTTATTTTAGTAACAAAAAAAAATTTTATTAAGACAACAGTTAATTTTATTTTATATTTGGAATTAGTACTTTAGTATTTTGTATGTTCTCTATTAGCAATGATCACAGCCTGAATTCTATTTGATATTGATTGTATCAAGTCACAATATACTTTTTTTAAAATCACTTTCCAAATATCTTTTAATTATTTCTTGAAAGATTCTTCTGATTCATAAGCTGCAAGATATCTTGTAATTGTCATTTGATAATATTCTATAACTTTTGCAATTTCTGTATTATTATAGTTTAATTTTTTGGCTGTAATAATGCTTTTCTTTTGTGCAGAAGCTATCTTTATCAAGATTCATTATGCAAAAAATTGAAAATGATAGAAAATTTTAAATTACATTTTATGATCCATAAAAGATTAAATCAAAATAATAAATAATAATATATTTAAGTAATATATAGGCAAATATGATATAAGAATCACATAGGCAGTTTCATATTAATAATTTTATTAAAACAGTTAAATTTTGACCATGTAATACTTTTGATATCCCTCTGTAACTTTATTTATCTTGACTAATTTTATTATTTTATAATAAGATTTTATATTTATTATTCTTATTAAATAAGTAGTAATTTAAAAATTTTATTAGTTAAAACTAAGTTATATATTATATATATCAGTTTTAACTTTTATTAAAGTCATATTGTTCTATTTATATATTGAACTTATTAATAAAAAGTATTATATATTAGTTCAAAAGTTCTATATCAATATAATTATTACAAAGAATTTTAGCTTGCAAGTTATTTTTTATTTGTTTTAAATTTTTTCATTACATATTGATCTTGTGATTTGATTGAATTATTTTTGAATTATATGATAAGATTAAATATGTGATTTAATCAGCTAAATAGCTTATCTTGCTTTAAGAAACTTCAAAAGTTAGAAATTACACTGCAAAAGTTTTCAAGTCATGTGTTGGCTGATGATAACTTGATAGCTCAGTCGCAAAATACCACTAGTGATGGCAAAAAAACACATAATTTTTTGACAATAATTGTATTAAGCTATATTAAGCTTATAATTATATATAAACTTTCGCAAGAAACATTTTTTAGAAAGTGATTTCATAGGCAAAATTTCGAGATACAGGCAATTTTTCAAAAATCAGAAATTTTTTTGCCATCACTATACTATTATTTTAATTATCACGTCATGATTACACTATAACTAGGAAATGGATACAATATATTCTTTTAATGATTTATTTATTTATAATCAGTCACGTGGCGTGACAACAGGAAATTCCACGTGACAATCAATTTTTCACATAATATATAGTCTTCGCTTACGCTCCGGACAATGATTATATATTTGTGCTATAATCTTGATTTTGCCAAAATTATTCGCTTGCCGTTCACTTCCTAAAGTATTAGCGAAAAAATCTATCTGAACTGGAACTTGAAAAAATTAATTTAGTTTTTATAAACATTCACAATTGCAGGTAGTGTGAATGCGCGGTATATGCATATCTATCGATTAGCAGGAGAAATTGCAACAGATCCTGATTTGTGTTAATCATATCTTTGAGATGTACTACTTGATGACTTTATATATCACTGCTGATGTTTCTGTTTCAACTTCTATATCACACACACTCTTATGAGAATGGTCAAAACATTCAATAATCAACAATTCGATTAAGTACGTTAACATTTATTAGCTAATATTTTTGTAATCACAACTAATTGTTTAAGCCAATATAAAGAATGATGAAAATTAAGAATCATTTTTTTCACTAACTGCATCAATTACACCTCGCACAAACGAAGAAAACCTACTATAAGATTTTGCCAAAACTTGAGCCTTACAGTAAATGCGTAGATTTTTTTTATCAGAAAGGTTAATCCCGATGGCCGGAAAATAACAGAAATTTACCACCAGATTATCGCTATCTCCTGAGTCCCAGGGACCTTGCATTAACTCATTACGAATCTTTTTGCCGCGTTTAACCCATTTGACATCAAGTTTAGGCTCTTGTGTGGACAATCGAAATAAAAAACGAATAAGTTCAATCACGAGTTCGGCAAGTTGAACGTTCAAGCGATTTTTATCTTCTTCCGACAACATTTCTCGGTACTTATTCATCTCATTTAAAAGATCATTAGTGATTGCGATTATGATTGGATGACTAGGATCATTGAAACTACGTGATCCTAATGAAGCATATACGTGTTGACGAATTTTAATTGGTGTAAATCGTGTGATATCATCATCACCTGAGCGTGTTGCTTCAAATTCTTCCATAAAACACACCAATTCTTTAGTGGTGGAGATTATCGAAGATTCGAGATTGTCATCTTCGTTGATTGAAGAAAGATTTTCTATAAATTCATAAACTTTTTTAAAAATAAGACGTTGAAGTGAAAGACTCAAGGCCGTCTTTGCGTCATGAGCTTCGTCATGAGTTTCGATTTTGTATTCGTCGAAAAGGCCATTCGTTTTTGCCTCATTGATTTGTATCTGTTTGCCTTTGACTTTAGTAACATCCGTCAATGATTTTTGTATTCTTCCAATGTCTTTGATTAATTGCTCAGGATCGTTTGGATCATCGTCGCTCCATTGAACATTTCGCACGTCGCCAAGAGCTATTTGAAGTACTATTGCTTCTTTTACAGCTGCATCCTTTTCCGTTTGTAAGTCTTTAATCTTTGCTAGACTTTTTTTGTTTTCATCTTCTAATTTTTGTATTTTGTCGCGTAAATTTTGTATTACCTTTTGATGCTCGAGTTCCATGCTTTCTTTTTCCCGATTAAATTTATCGTTTAATTGTTGATTCTCTAAATTGCATCGTTGCTTTTCGGATTCAAGCTTTTGTCGATATTCTTTTTCAATTTCATCACGAGCATTTAAGAGTTCATTTCGATGAAGTTGCTTACGTTGTTCTAGATCTTTTTCCAAAATTTTGATACGTTTTTTATTTTCGGATCTTCTAATAAGTTCCGATTGACTTCCATCGACAAAATCACTCATTCCTTTTATTCTATTATAGATAATTGAACGTGTACTCGACCGCTCTTCAATTGTAAATTGTATTAAACCTGATATTAATTGTTGGCTTTGTTGAACAAGATATTGGCCTGGTTGAGCAGGAAAAAAAATTAAGAAGATTCTTTCTAATAATAGGGTTGGTAATTCAGTTTCTGATGAAGAGAACCATGAGTGAAAGTCGATCATTAAATCTGCACTAAATCTTGGATCCATTCCGATTTTATTAAATTTGCTGATTGCTTCATTCACATCGAGATATTCTTCAACAATTAAATTCTTTTGTTGATTATTTTTTGGTTCGGCAATGCAAACTAAGAGAAATTTTAAAACTTCACGATCAAAATAAGTCTCTGATATACACAAAAAATCGTTTATTTTTTCATAGGATAGATGCCTTGGGATTTGAGTTTGCTCGGATAAAATGTTATTGGTATTGTTGTTAGGATTTTGTTGTTGCTGTTGATTTTGTTGCCGCTGCTGTTGATTTTGTTGTTGCTGCTGCTGCTGCTGAATTTGTTGTTGTTGCTGTTGATTTTGCTGATGAATTTGAATTTGCTGTTGCTGTTGTTGCAAATTCGTATTACTGCTTGTTTCTTCATTAACATGCATTTTCAAACGTTATAGTGTAATCAAACGAATACAAATATTGTTTTATTCTCGACGAAAGAAGTTTCACTTTGTTTTCCTATTAAATTTCGGGTATGGATAATGTAAATGCCAGGCATAGAATATCGTACGATAATTGTCTGTACATATTGTTATTGCTTTACATTACATGCACATGTAATGATAAGATTCAGCCAACATTTTCCATAATTATACTCCTTTGTTTTTTTAACTATTTTTGTAACAGTTCCTGTTTTTATTTTGGATGCGCAAATGCTATTTTGTAGACAGTTCCTGCTTTTATTTTGGATACGCAAATACTATTTTGTAACAGTTCCTGTTTTTATTTTGGATGCCCAAATGAATTTGCAAGTTAGTCAACAATATCGATATGCTAAGATAATATTAGCGCAGAACTCGGGATCTTTGACCGGATTCACAAGTTTTGTTACTCGTGTCTCCGTTTTAAAGCTTGGTTTTTTCATGCAAAATCTTCTTCCTATTTATCTTTTTCAGTTACATCCATGAGTACTAAAGATTTTCGTGTAGTTGTGGCTATTGACTTTGGCACAACATGCAGTGGTATATAATAATTTTTGTATTTATTGAAAAAGAACAATTCATTCTAAACGAATGATTATAGACTATGCTTTTTTAATCAAATATCTTTAGGATTTGCTTATTCGCACACCGAAACTCATGACATAACAGTTCATAAAACGTTTCCCGGACATACCGCACCAAAGACTAATACCGTTCTCAAATATGATAACAATTGGAAAGTTATTCATTGGGGGAATCAAGCACTTGTAAAAACGCAATCAAGAAGAAAAAAAGCAAATCTGAGTAATTCTCATCCAGTCGAGCTGTTCAAACTTCATCTACTTGATATAGATGAGGGAAATAAACCGTATCTGCCTAAAGAACTGGATTATAAAACCGTGATTACTGACTTTCTTACTAAAATGCAACAGGTAAAATATATTAAAAAAATAACTAATTCGCGTATATTGATCTTTAAAGGTTGCAATTATTTAGTTAGTTTTTGAAACACTATTATTACGATGGCCCAGTTTAACATTGCCGAAAATCAGATTTGTCTTCTCGGTACCTGCTGAATTGGTAAGCAATTTATTTTATTTTTTAAATTGACAAACTCAAAATTTTATGATTGTGCACGTTAAGGAGTCTAAAACTAGAAGAATTCTACGAGAATGTATTTATAAGGCTGGTTTCTTGACGGATAAAGATTCGGATAATTTAGAATTTATATCTGAACGTGAGTAATTTTAGTCATTTTTCAGTTTTAAAGTAATGGTTAAATGTTTACTTATTAGTTACTTGTACATGTAATTGATTTCAGCTGAAGCTGCGGCGATATACTGCATGCAAATCTTAAAAGAACATGAGTTGAAAGTCGGGGGTAATTGTTTGAAAATTTGCTCACGTAAACAATTAATTAAATACAATACCATTTTATTTAGACTCTTTTATGGTCTGTGACTGTGGTGGTGGCACAGTAGACTTAACTACTCGTACACTTCTTCCTGAAAATCAACTTGGCGAAATAACAGAAAGAACCAGCGATCTTTGTGGCAGCACCTTCGTTGACAATGAATTCATTTTATTTTTAGGACGTCGTTTAGGTCATAAAGCCATGCAAAAATTCAAAGAAAACCATTACGGCCACTTCCAATACTTAATTCATAAGTTTTTTTATCCGGATGTAAAAGAAGAATTCACGGACAGTGTTTTGGCCTTTGAACCAATTGATTTTGACATTCAAAAAATTTGTCCTCAATTGATAAATTATATGGACGATGAAAGACGAAAACAATTGGATGAGGACGAATGGATCATTGAATTGCAATTTAGTGACGTAAAGTCAATGTTTGATCCAGTTGTTGAAAAGATTATTCGATTAGTGCGAAATCAATTGAATGCAAGTGGTCAACAAGCATGCTCCGCTATATTTATGGTAGGAGGATTCGCTGAGAATTCTTATCTCGTTTCACGTATAAAAAAAACATTTGGTCGAGAAATTCGTACAATTGCTGTGCCGCAAAAACCCATTATGTCTATTCTTAGGGGTGCCGCTGAATATGTGAGTGTATTTGAAGGAAAAAAAAACTTTTATTTTTTATATTTTATAATTTGTATATACATTGTGTTTAGGGGTTAAACAAAAAAATTGTTAAAACGCGAAAACTTCGATGGACATATGGAATAGAAGTTAGTTCATTGTGGCAAAAAGGAGTTGACCCGGAAAAACGAAAAACCCCCGATGATCGTATTCTCAAATTTAGTTCTCTAGCAGAACGAGGTACTGAAGCATCACCCGATCGAAAATTTTGCGGTATATTTTTTCCAGTCTACGAAACTCAGGAATCGATTCGATTTCGAGTGTTTCAAACTAAAAAGCTTGACGCAAAGTTTTGTGATGAACAGGGAATGAAAGAAATTGGAAGCATGATGATGAAGTAATAAAATTTAAATTGGTTGTATACGTATGGTTTTTTTATTAACGTTTCGTAATTGATATATTAATTAACTGAAATTACCATATATAGTTTAGGCAAGCATTTTGGGTTAAATAGACCTGTGGAATTTGGCTTAACGTTCGCTGAAGAAGAAATAAAAGCAACTGCTTGGAATAAGGTTACCGAAGAGATTTTGGAAACGAAATTTGATTATATAGAATAGACGAATTATTTAATATAAGTAATTAAAATATAGAATATGTAACCATAACAGAATAATATTCATTATAATTTCTTACGCGATTCCTGGTCACATGATACATGCAACTTATGTTCAATGATTGGCTGGTTTCTCATTATGTAATTTAGGGCCAACATGGCGGGCTTTAATTTGATTGGATAATCGCATTAAATGTTACACAATACATCTTACTAGCGTAACATTTCGCAGCCATTCAACCCTTGTAAATAGCACAATCTGACATTTAATTATGCATGGGCTCCCGTCTTCAGCAGATTTTTTAAACACCGATCAAATATATACCTATGCCTTAACGAAATCTGTGACAGGTGCTGCAAATCTAATAAAGTATTAGGAATTAATCAAAATAATGCATAAAAACAAAATATTTAAATCCCAAATAGCGAATGGGGATGTGAATTATTAACATAAATAAATATTAAAAAGGAATTTTTTCAATTCTTAGTATATGTACTGCGCTTAGTGATGGGCAAAACTATACTATACTGTGTACCATCAATTAAAGCAATTGCGTACTTCGTTGAGCACGAGAGTATAAATAATAGTAAATAAAATTAATTTGCAAAGATAAATAAATAACTTTTATTAGTACTATATGGGAGCATTTTAAACAAATTGGTTATGTTGCTGGATTTCAACAACAATGGGCAGAATGTAATTTCTGTGATTATTTTTAATATAAGATTCGAAAAAACCCAGTAGTAACAGAATATTCAATATTGCTGGTTTATTAAGTAATAAGTTGGCATGGGAATATATAAATGATGTGGATTCAATTACTTGGTGAGCTGCAAATTATCAAAAATAGCACTACATATCTTAACAGTTCCAACATTATCAGCATGATTGGTCAGCTTTGGCGCACATTCAGAAATCGTTTAAGTATATAGCAATCATAAATTGCAATCTTCTTCAGATCAACAAAAAAGTTATTGAGAAGCATTACTGTGATGAGGAGATAAATATAAATCATTATTATATGTGAAAGAAATATAAAAACAGCGCATAATAATAGTGAGCAAGAGCTTGTCAGATAATAGGAATAAAGTATTAGAGACTTCAAGTGATCGTATAGTATGTACGCGTATAGTGTTCGACTATACGCGTATTTGCCCATCACTACTCTGCCTTTGAAATCTTAGTGAAGCTCACTTTCGTAAATTATTCAGCCTAGCTCTCGACCCTTTGTCATGTCTACAATTCTTTAGTCCAACTAACTTACTGAATTGTGCGTGACATTATCATTCATGGCAATTTAACTTTCATTGTTACACCTTTACATATTTCGATTTAATGTATATAAATTGAGGTGGATAATCTTTAAATTCAATTAATTCATGATATCAGCGAAAAAAAATGATCTTTATACATGTACATATTCATGTATTTTGTTCTTAACGGCATGTTAGTAATTCGTGATCACCCGTTGCATGCACTATTACATCCACTCGAAACGATGTCAGAAACGAAGAAAATAGTTCTATTTTCCAATTATCTTTGATGAGATTCTTTTGAATACGAAAGTTCCAGTTTTCTAAACGAAGATTCTTGTGATGAGAGAATCTAAGAAAAACGAGAACAAACCTCTTGGGTTGGAATACTACAATAGAAAGAAAGGATTTCTAGATTGAAGTCAAAAGATAGCATAGCTCAATGTTAGGCAAAATATAAAGAGAGTGAGCTCGAAGAAACTCGTTCATTCATCTTCGACAAACTCATAATATCATCTCTTAGTCAATTTTTTATGAAAAATAATTACTAATAGTTTATTTGTGTCAAAATCTCAATTATATCTGTAGAAATTCTGATTAATGGTAACGTTCGATTTTAAAACATAATATAAAATTTTTGTAATTTTGTATTTAAAACAGTGCTTGTACTTTTAATCTTTCACAGAAAGGAATCATTTTTGAAAAATGCAATTTGATGAAATTTAAATGATAAAATATTTATGAGCTTATAAAACTTTTGATCTCTCGTATGTTTTATTATAAATATGATTGGTGCTTTTTGTATAAATGCATATCGGTATTAAAAGGTTTAATTTTACACAGTTAAAGTATTTTGAATATAAAAGCCTTTTCTAGCAAAAACGTATTGAAATACTTGTTTGAATTTATTTAATATTGAAATGATTATTTAATGAATTATCTTTAAAATCTTAACGGTAATTGCATTTATGCAATAGAGTATGTTATTTCAAAAATTCTCATTTTTAATACTTTTTCGAACGTGCTTAGCTGCGTATATGAAGAAAATTTTAATGTTTGGCTTTTTGTATCAGGACACTATATACATCAAGTATTTTATCATAGACATTTCTTTTTGATACATGTCGATGCTTAACAAGAAATCACCGAACTCGCTCAAAAACAAAGCCCTCCTGCCACCAACTTCCTTTAATTGCTAAATTCTTATTTATCAGAAAGTTCATGAGAGGTTTATTTATTTTAACTATCAATATTTTGAAGTAATGCAGTTAAAATAAAAATGAATATTGAATGGGAACCAAATAAAAGTTACCTATTACTCACCAAAACTATACTCGTTTAATTTTTTCCCTTCTCTATATTTTCCTATTCCAAGAGTGAAAGGAACAAAAGGTAACTTAATTCCTTTCAAAAAATTAGGAACGTGAGAACGCAAAAAGTTATTTGCATACACAAATGGAAGTGTGCTTCCTTTTACGTTAACATTTCGTTTGTTTTATCATCATATCAAACATTCATGTTCATATACAGCGTATAACAGTTAGAACATTTTATAAAGCGAATTCAGAAAATGTCATAATACTCCTTGAGCGGTTTTCAACTAATTTATATTCTTGCATAGTCCGGCAAAATAAAGATATTATCAATCTAATAAGAGATTGCATGATGATTAGAACAATTTTCGAAAGGATCCTTTTGATATCTTGTAAAAGTTGGGTTTGAAATATTTTATTAAGCAGCTCGGTTGGACGAACCAATAAAGCGGAATCATGAAGAAAACAAATTTTAAATAATGCGACGCAATAAATATAATTTTATTGACGCATATAGTACAAACCCTTAAAAAATTCTCGTATTCACGTGGCATCATCAATATTCATGTATTACATTTGCAAGAAACAAGGATTGAAGAGTTCCACAATTGCAATTTGGAAAAATATCTAAACGTCAACGACGACGTAAATGATCAAATGGAAAGTCAAAACATGGACCAACAGGATCAGCAACAAGCTGACAAAGAAAAGAAATAGAACTGCTAAGTTCCTTTGACAATATTTTCAAAAATAATGAAAACTTTGAAACAAATTTAACAAAAATTGCTACAATCATTTCGAAAAACTCAAATGCCCTTGGATAAAACAAAGCTTTCGGAAAATTTACAAGATAATATACAATATTATCATATGAGAAAAAGATTATGACCAAGCTTTATAATATTATCAACAAACAGAAGCTCAAGGAGATGTTATAGCACAATTTAATTGGTAAATTATACAACGGTGAAGCTTGAATGAAAAAAATTGTTTGGTATTTAAAATCAGCAGAATCTGGATATCCTCAAGCACAATTTACGCTTGCTCTCTGTTGTGTTAATGGAGAAGGAACTATCAAATATAAAAAAGCATTCGAATGGTATTTAAAATCAGCAGAGTCTAGAATTCCTCAAGCACAGTATGAGCTTGCTCTCTGTTAGGAAAATGGAAAAGGAACAATCAAAGATGAAAAAAGCATTTGAATGGTTTTAAAATCAGCAGAATCTGGGGATTCTCAAGCACAATTTTCGCTCGCTCTCTGTTATGAAAATGGAAAAGGAACAATCGAAGATGAAAAAAGTATTCGAATGGTATTCAAAATCAGCTGAATCTGGATATTCTCAAGCACAATATATGCTTGCTTTCTGCCATGCAAATGGAATAAGAACAATCGAAGATGAAAAAAAGCATTCGAACGGTATTTAAAAACAGCCGAGTCTGTGTTTAATAGAGTCCAATTTATTTTTAGTCATGAAGAAATGAAAAATCTAGAACATACTTTATTTGAAAGTTGTCTTACAACTAACAATTAGCGGTAATTCTCGATTACAATTTCGACTTAGTCAATATCATGAATATGGAGAAGGAACAGACAATGATAATGAAGCCTTTAATTGGTATTTAAAAGCGGCAGAATCTGGTAATAATAAAGCCCAATTTAATATTGGAAAATTTTATCATTATGGAATAGGAATTTCAAAAAATCTCGAGATAGGGTATCAAAGACTAATGAGCATGGATATGATCTAGTTCCTTGATCATTTAATTTTGAAGAAATTTTTTCAAATTGGTAGATGTAGATAACATTTTTTTAATTTTTGTTACTGTATCTAGAGAATATAATTATTACTCCGTAATTAGCATTTGATATCGAATTCTGGTTTTCCTCTTTATTCTTCTTTATTTGTTTATTTTATTAATTTTATTTTGAATATACAAATGATTATTATGTATTAAATTAATTAGATTTATATATATTTCTATTATTAATTTATTTACTTTTTGTATTTATTTCATTTTCTATAAATATATTCTTTCTATTTGTAAAATAATCTTAGAATTGAATATTATTCAAACAATAAAAATTATAAGTTTTTTAAATTAAAACTATTCACTTCACATTTTATTATATTTATAATTAACAAATAATCTTATATTACTAAGCTATAGTTACTGTATTATTTTACTATATCATATCAAGATATTATATTATATCATCTTACTTTTATCAAAAATTATATAATTTCTAGTTAAATTCTTCTTAAAAATTCTATTCAATTTGATTTTATATATTCAATTTAATTATTTTTATTTTTATATTATTTATTTATAATCTTTATTTCTTTATTTATTTAATTATTAATTAATTAATTAATAAGTATCTTTCAAAAATACAACTCATATTATTAATAAGCAATTATATAATATTAATAGTTTATATAATTCTAAATTATTATTTAAAAAGACTCTTTTTTGTTCTGTATTATAACAAACATTTTAATATTAATAAAATAAATTATAAGTTAAAATTTGAAATAAAACTATTTGCTTTCTGTGTGAATATCTTACTAAATTCTAATATGCAACAAGAAGATTACATCTTCAATTAATACAAGTTATAATTAAAAAAGTAATTGAAATAGTATTATCTTTTGCTTATATTATTAAACTTTGAATTTTGACTTTTGTCAAAAGAAAGTTATTATTGCATTAATTTCTTTGTAAGAATAGTCTAATTGTATAGAGATTTTGATTTAGTTATATATTCTACACTTTTGTAAATTTGATCTCTAATTCTTAAAATTAGTCTACAATTAAACAATCTCTTGTGATTAATTATGTTATTTCTTTTTCATTATCAAAATCAATCTTTTAAGTGAAAATAAACATATATTGTCATTACAATAACTATAATTACTGACACAAAACCTTTAGAATATAGTAAAGAGACCCTTCAATAATGAATAAATTGCAATTTAAATCTATCACAAATCTGTTAAGCTTGAACTCATCATACAGTGACCCTTCCAAATTTCTCCTAGACGCAAAAAATATGTGGCTAGCAACCTATAATTTTTCCCAATAAATTTTGATCAATCCAAAAACAAATCCGACACAAAAATGAAAGTATAAAAAACAGATGTTTTAACTTAACTTGGAGTACTAATAAAAAAAAATGTCGGCAAGACAATTTATATTTTAATCTTGTTTCCAGATCTCATCCTAACCTTTAACCTAACCTTTTTTAAATCGATCTTTCATCAACAAAACCTGGAGAAAGAAAAAAAGTCATGTATTTGAACCACATATTACTGCGCCTAGGAGAAATTTGGGGGGAGGGTTGCGGTCTGAGTTTTAGGCCTGTCCATCTTTGAAATCTAATAGACCGGATAGTACTACATGTGTGTGATGACGATAATTTTCTACTTTTTCACAAATTTTTTTGACTACAGAAAATATTTACATGGTTTGTCTTCAAGTCATTATCGTAGGACTATATTCTTTATGTATACTGTACTGTGCATTTGCAAAGATCGGTATAAATGGAGACTGAGTTATATTATTTCGTAACGATAAAATTTATTAAAAAAAGAACAATTTGTTTGCACTTTAAAAAAGTTATATTGTACGACAGAGTAATTTGCGTAATGATTTCAACAAAACTACTCGTTTATATTTATTACGTCGCACTGTTTAAATTTATTTTCTTCATGATTACACTATATTGGTTCGTCCAACCGAGCTGCTTCATAAAATGTCTTAAAACCTCCTTTTGCAAGATGTCCAGTATTGATAGAATCCTTAAAAAGGATCCTTTCAAAATTTTTCTAACTGTCATGCAGTCTTTTATTAGATTGATAACATCTTTATTTTCGCCGGATCATTCAAAATTATAAAGAAAGTCGTTCCAGGAATATTGTGAATAATTGAAATATTAGGTTTCATTTTTTTGAATTCGTTCGCTCTGTTATTTATTGTGTTATGCGTTGTATATGAACATGAAGGTTTGAAATGATTATAAAACGAACGATCTATACAATTACTGTATGCGTGTAAATAATTACATGTATGCCACGAAAAAGAAGTCACATTTCCATTTGTGTATGCAAACAACTTTCTATATTCACATGGTTTTTTGAAAGGAATCATTGGAAAAAATAGACAAGTTTAGGAAAATATATGGAAGGGTGAAAATAGGGAGATTATCTATTTTTAACTACTCTTTATAAAAAGTATAACTTAATAATTTTTGTATAAACTAGCTGCTTTTGGAGAGTAATAGACAACTTGTATTTGGTTCCATTCAAATTCAATTTTATTTTAGCTAAATTACTTAGCAATTTCATATTTCATTAGCTATTATTATGTCTCTCTACATTGTTCATTATTTTTCTCCTAAAAATTATAGAAATTTAACAAAGAATATTTGGTGTAAGTGATTACTCTACAGAAGGACCAAATGTCGTACTAAATAACAAAATCAGGTTTATTCCAAAATGATAAGTTACAATCAAATAATCATGGTAAAGAAATAAAGCCTTTGATTTGTTCAGCAAAAAGAAATAAAAGCCGAAGCATAGTTAAGTAAGAATTTAAAAATAATTTTCGTTATTTTCTTCAAACCACACATTGCCTGTCTCTCTGACCTTCGAGCGTTTCCTATATATACAATTTTGCTACTATACAGTTATCTAAATTACAAATCGTTTACGGATCATTAAGCAAAAATAGGAATTCTGGCATCTTGGGAGGAATTTTCCTGCTTTTGGGAAAGCGATGACGTTAATTTTGATACTACAAGGGAGGCCTTTTTGTAGGAATTCGTGTGTTTCGGTGTAAGTGTTACGGGACAATACTGATTATTTTTAAGTTTTATTACACATTACTGTATGAATAGGAATACAAAATGAAACTTCGCGCTACTCTAGAACATTCCGTATCCACGAGATTTTGGCAACAACATTATAGTGCCAGTTAACCCAGTTCTTCAAATTTGATATAAGAAACAGAATGTCCCTCAACTTTTACCAATCAGCATTAGAATTAAAAAATATAACTAAATTTATAATACAGATAGAAAATTCTTCTAATCATTTCCAATTATATTCGAAATTACCGCCGCCTTTCTGGTTTGTTATTAAAAGAAAATGAAGCATGTTCTTTGTTCTTGAATCTGAAAATGTCTGTCTATGATTTTAATAACTATAAAGATCAAAAATATGATTATATACATGTATTAATTAATCTAAATTTCATTAAAGTTATATTTCCACGAAATTGTGTGAATTTTTCAGAAAAAGATAATATCAACATAGAGTTCAAATATTACACGCAATATATATGTGAAGCTTCTAAATAATCATTATTATTGAGTATTCATGTACTGTAAGTCACGATAACATAATAAGAGCAGTCCGAATCTATCCTTTAAAAATTAGAAAAAACGATATGCCTATACTTTAGAAATGTTTTATTTTTACCTCAATTATAAGTTCCAATGTAATTTGCTTTAATTAGATAATGATTTTCAACACAACACCAAATTACTTCATTCTTCATGTTCCCAATTAAAATAATGCTACATGTACAGAGTCAAAGTCGATATAACGGAGCGAGTCGGTTCATTAGTGAAAAATCCAGTATATCAAGGTCTACCGATGAATCCGTTATATTGGCAACGATTTATTATAGACTGTTATGGACCTCAATCCGCTATAGATTAGTGTTCGTTAACGATCGTACTTTATATCGAGTTTACAAATTCTTTAACAGCAACAGCATCATATTTAAACTTCGGTATGTAACGTACACCCTTGTAATTCTGGTCAAACATAGGCTAATTCTGACTGATACTATCATTTTTATATAGAAGTTCTCACGTAATGTATACTCGTGCCGTACTTTTACAGTGTACGCCCCCGGGTACAAATCGGGTTTTGGCTGGTGGAATGTAACATACTCGGATATTTTAAACGGCAAATTACATCAGCAATTTTTGCATGAATGATCTGCCACATGAATCAAATACAGTCAAGACTCGATTTAACGTTAGTGACTACGTGATTTAACAGAAATTGCGAATTAGCGCTGATCACCAAAATTAAAATTACGCGCGATAACCATTACGATTAATACATTTAGGTCGTTATCATAAGATTGTCAGCATGTTTTAATATTGATATTATGAGAACTCGCAATTGCTAATTTCATCACGTATAACCGCAGTTAACTATACATTTAAACAAAAGGGTTAATCATCAAATTTGCCAGTTAATCGATTAAACCGATATTTATTTTCAAACAAACCCAATACATGTGCTTGTATGTACCGGTACGCATTAACTTTTGACGTTAAAATAATGTCGATATTGCAATGTTGACATGATAATTTGCTGATCCCGAGAAAGCGAGCAGCATAGAGATTGAATTCGGACCGAATGACAATGACACCGGAATCGATATCAAAACGTGCATACATGTATATATTAATGCGTGTTATTGGTTTTGTACTCGTTTCATTTGCAGTAATAAGCATAAAGATAAGTACATGTACAAAGCGCATACGTAATTTTTCAATTTCTAAAAATTTATTTATTATTCGAAATAATAAATAATAGTGGAAATTGAAATTTAGAATTATTTAATCAATAAATCATTTAATTCATAGACAAGAAATGGCAAACGAACTCTCTGCTGAAACTCTTTCCACGATTTTCGAATATTTAACAAACGAGGAATTATTCAAAATCGTTTTTGTCAACAAATCGTGGTGTAATTCGGCAGTTCGAGTGCTTTGGCGATCGCCATTTGAATTTTATAATGAGTTGATTGATGATGAATATGAAGAGAACGTAAAAGACGAAAGACAAATTAGAAAAGGAAATGCCGTGATACGTACTTTGATGACTTTTCTGGGGGAAGACGAGGAAAAATCGCTTGTTGAACAGGGACTCGAATTATCTTCGAAACCAAAAAAGTCCGCACTCGCATTTAATTATCCGTCATTTATCATTGTCTTTGAATACACCAATATTCTATTATCGATCGAGGATTGGCTTGACACCTCGACAAAATTGCAACGTCAAAATGATCGTTACAAAATATTACACGATGAGATATTCAAATCATTGAGTAAATTAATTTTCGCGGAATCGCCCGGAATTGAAGAATTAACTTGCGTCACCTCATACAAACTCAATCTATTTACTATTCCAAACGCAGTGAATAGCTTGTCGAAAATCAAAAGATTCTCGAGTGATTTCATGAATATTTCAAAAGAATTTTTCATTGCAGCGTCTCAGCATTGTGTCGAAATTAAACACCTTTCACTTCGTCACTGTACAGATGACGAAGTCTTGGTAAACTTTATTGCTAATCAACAAAAACTTGAGGCTTTCGAAGTTAAAGGAATCGATGAACCATTGCCGGAGGTGATCGATGTAATAAGAAGTAAAGGTTCGACATTGAAAAAATTAGTTATTGAAGAAGTGATCTCATTGCCGCCGACATTGCTTGTTGGTTTGGAAAATTTGGAAGAATTTAGGTTAAAACATTTTTATGATCCTACCAACGAAGACCTTCAAGAATTTTCAGATACGATGGAAGGAATCGCAGAGACGCGATTCAATAATTTGAAATCTTTACACTTATTGATCGACGAAGCAGATCCTGAAATTCTTGCACGTATTTTAGAGAACACGGATATGAAACTGAAATCATTCACGTTGAGTTATTTGAAATTTGAAGGAGAATTAGACGCAAACGATTTATGGGAAGCGATTGCAGGATTTTGTCCGATGTTGGAGGAACTGCATCTGGAAACATTTAATCTAAACGAATTATTCATCGGTCTTCAAATTATTTTCGGCGGATGTTCTCTCCTACGAGCATTGACTATTTCAGAGAATAAAGAAGGTGATGGTGAATACGGACCATATGATGTTTCAGACGAACTTGCCATATTGGGGCCTTCAATTCCGCCCACTTTACAGATTTTTGATTTAAGCCAAGCGGATGCAATTTACACGCCACAAGCTCTTGAAGAATTCCTTGATGGATGTGCCGAGAAATTGAAAAAACCGTTATCGTTGAAGCTGGAATCTCAGTATCTTGAACCTACGCATTTTGATGTTCTGCATTTGTTTGGCGAAGAAGAGGCTAATGAGAGTGGAGACGAAAACATTGGAGAAAGGTTTGTAGCTTTTTTCTATCATTAAAATATTGTCATTGGATTTTTAATTTGATTATTTTTTTTATTTTTTGCAGAATCTTTACTATTCTCCCGAGACCTAATTTGGATGCGGCAGATAACGATAATAAACAATAACGATAATAAATCTGTAGTATTACCTTGATAACGATAATACAAAGTAATGTAGACTCTACAAACCCATGATCGGGAAACTTCGTAACGGTATCGAATCAGCAAAAGATTTTCGATCACGATTATAGTTCTCATTATGGGCATGAGTTACTACAGCAATAAATAAAATTTAATTTGTATTTCTTGCTTTTCTTTTTGATTGCAACGCGGACATCCGGAAATACTAAAAATACTCGTATTGAATCCCGCTTCTGGTAGTGCACATAACAAAATTGAGAAAATTTGTATTTTTGGTCTACAAAATTTTCTCGTGCATACCTTTAAAAAGAATAATGTTCATAGTGATCAACAAGGCTGGGTAGGATGAAAATTTTTTATTATAGAGTTGCTGTGTATACGAACTATTTTTTCTTTTTTCATTACTTGGTTTTTTTGCAATGCAAGATAAGAAATGAATTTTTATATTTGGATTTTACCTTTTCATTGCCTAAACAATCGAAACGAGAATCATTATTTTTACTAGAACTTTCTTGGCAATAGGTAGAGCTGGATAAAATCCTAGTTGTGGTTTTCACAGTATCGGAATATCACAACAATAGTCCTTCCTTTTACGCAATTAAATATACATGTAGTCTTAAAATTTCTCAACTTCAGTTGATTAATTGTTTTTCTTATTTGAATATCTTAGTTATATAATTGTTAGAAAATAGCATTAACTGTAGCAAATAAAGAAGCATCATCAATTGTTGACATGGATGCCCAAAATAATGCAGTCCGATCAAGAAACTGAATTTACCAAAACACCTGTTAACTAATTAAATATGATTCGGGATAAGGAACTATAGATAAAATTTTATTAAACGAAAGTCAAGCCAATTCAATAAATTTTGTATTTCAACAAAAGGTTTGATGTGAATAACTTTTCAAATAGTTCTAATATCTTAGTCCAGAGGTGCTAAATGGGGAAAAAAGCACACTCAGGCTGCTGATGTTTATGAGCTTATAACAGACGAACGATCATTCGGTGAATGAAGTACATGTACATGTACATGTAATGTGTAAATGATCTCGTCTTAGATATTTTGTAATGGAGTACGACCTAAGATAGCAAATTACGTATCTGAATTATGCAAATTTTTGATTGAAAGTAGTGATTCTGACCCAGTAAACAGGCCGACTGGTTTAACAAGTTTAGATGAAGAGTGGAAACCGAATACTTTGCATTCTCAGTATTATGGTTTATTTAAAAAATCCTAAAATACGAAGAAATTATTGAGTGTCTTAAATTCAAAAAACATCAATTAGTAAAATAAATTATCGATAAAAAATAGTCCGAAAACAAAAGTCCACTTGAATGCGATTATCTCGTTAATACAAATTAAATCTTTACAAAAGAAGTTCAATTCCAAATAATACAAATATTCTTTATCCTAAATATAATCGTATTGTCGTTTCACATAGGTAAGGTTGTTTTCTATATTAATTTCATTAATTCATTATTATATATTTCTTGGGGTGCTGCAAAATAAATCAACGATATCAAAGCGTCAAACAAACAAAACTAAAAAAAACAAGCCTACGTGTTTAGAATCAAATAAAAATTTCGGCTGACTAAGTGAAGATAATAATAACGTTACTCTCATAAACGTAATTAATTGCATGAAATACCAAAGTGATTTTGACTTTTTGATAAACTTCTTTTTATTTATTATTATTTTTGTCGTTATTTTGATTTTTTTTAGCTATATCACGAGACGAGATTATTTCTCAAATTAAATCTTTATATAAAATTTTTACAAGGTTTATTGACATCGTTATGAAAAACTTATGCAAAGTACAGTATTGGGAAGTAACATACCTACGTACGTATTGACTTTTTCATGTAGGTTATTATAATTTCTTGTTCCGGTAAATAGTTTCATATCTGATGAAAAAAATATACTATATTTATGACAAGTACAAAAGTGCTTTAAATTGTATTATTTTAACCAAATATTAACATTTATCATTTATAAAATAATTTTTTTTATCAAAACACAATACCACTACAACACTAGTGAATAGTAGCGAATTATGATAACGTTTTGAATTTTTGTTTATTATGCTATCCCTTTGACAATTTTTTTTACCTAGGAGAACTTTTCGTTATTGTTAATTCTTGTATCTTTTTGACTTGTATAACAAAAGAATTAAGGGTCATATGATATTTCACATATTAAATGCCAGGAGAATTATTTAAAAGAAGAATTTGATCTAAAAGAGATGGGATTTGAAGAAGTGTAATCAAAGGAAGCAATAATTCTGATTATTTTTATTTCAACATTGTTTACCTTTAGAATATTTTGCTTTTAATTTCCCTTGCCTTTTATTGAGTTATCTTGTTTTATATTCTAACGCAACGCTAGTATTAGTTTTGGTTTTTCTCTTTTATTAATTTTTTGACGCTTTGAGATGATTCAATACTATTTGTATGATGAAATGAATAAAAAATATCCCTTAGATTTATATAAATTCAAGAAAAGACAAACATTTCATTTTAGAATTATTCAGATTCACATAGTTGCAACAGAATAATTGTCTCATTTCAAAATACAAAGGGAACTTGTTGCAATACAAATAATATTTAATATTTAATATAATAATCTGAAGTAAAAATTCGATGATGTAAATTGCATTCGGGTATATTTGTTGTTTTTGTCTATATTCGTAGATTGATATTTTCTAATTTAACACATTTTTTGATTTCTTCTATTTTAGATATTCTAAAGAGCCGTAATACTGAAGATGTAAAGTATTCAGCTTCCAATCATCACCGTCTGGATACCAGATACTGATAAAGTCTGTAAGTCCTCAGCATTTAGTCTGTTTTCTTGGATAAGATCCAACATTTTTCAATAATAAATTTGCGCCATCCAGGAACATTATTGTATAACTTGAAATACTTCATAATCATCAACTACGAAGGTAATTTTACCATTATCGCTCAACAGACCATGTTCATATGAACCTTTTTGACAAAAATTACCATTCGCTGGATCGAATAATCTCAAATCTCTTGTACTTCCAAAAATTGGGCCATATCCTTCAAAACATCCTATACCCCGATTTCCTTTATTTCCTTCGGTTTTGCTTATAAACCCATTGGATTCATTTGAATCAAATCGAAATAAAAAGCTGTTTGGTGTATTAAGATAATCGTTGCGTGAATTCCATTCCAATGGATTATATCCACCAATTATTTTTTTCGAATCTTTTATTCGTATGGCAACAACTGTTGGACCTTTTTTGTCACAAAGTCGATGAAAATCAGCTGCAGTTAATCCATCCCGACTGCCTCGTAACAATAACTTTAAATCAAATGGTTGAGTTAATTTTGTATCTTGCAACTTTATCCATCCACTTATTTTATTGGTTTGGTTTCGAGTAAGTATTGTGGAATTATTTGAATTTCGAATAGGATATTTGTTAGCTTGAAGATCTTCGCTTCCTGGAACCAAATAATGATGTAATAAATCCTTGTATAGCTTTGCTGATAAGAGTTCCGAGTAGGGCATTACTTTATTGTAAAAGTCAACAGAATTTATATGGAAGAAACGGATCAATGGTAAACATTGTTTAAGCGCAAATTTTAATTGTGTAAATTCGTTTTGTGTCCATTTCTCTACGGGGATCGAAAAATCAATATTCTCAGAATTGGAAGCTTGAGCAGTTCCCCATTCAAGAACCTTCTCCCAAATATCAATTTCATGAAGATTCAAATCATCACGTCTGAGCAAAGAGATTAGTGCAGTTTCTTGCAGTTTTATAAAATCATTCGATTGGAAAACAGCGGCAGGGTTTTCACACGCAATATCTGTACAAAATTTCTGGAGTTTCGTAAAAGAGTTGTGCTCGAATACGATTCGATTGATTAAGGCGAAATTCTCAGTCATAGAATCGATATGGTTCTTTAAAAGAAGGTCTTGAATGTATTCAATTAAGTCATCAAGAATCAACTCATCTACCGCAATTAATAAATCTAAAAGTGTCGGCACTCCGTGTTCATTCAAGTCAATTTTGCCGCAGTACATATATCTAACAGATCATAAAATAAACATAATGATAACTTTTATCCGTGTCTTACGTATAACAAACATAATTTATTTACCTCAATAAGATTTCAAATACACGTGGCGAGATATTTGGTTTCTTAAAAACGATCATTTTGTTTGGTTCTCGCTTCACCCATGCATCGGAAAGTGCGGCAGCAAAGTACTGGGATTGCGCCATTAAAATACACGAATGTGCAGTAAAGGTGCGTTGTGCTTTTCCATCACCAACAATGATCGAAATATCACAAAAATTGCCCTTTTCGTAAAATTCAGTTAATTTATTTGAATGTGAAATTAATAATAGGTCGGCCGTCATATCGAGTTTTATTAGAATAATACGTATATTTATGTTATCGTTACGAAATCGGTAGCCTATTCTTATTAGATGTACAGTATATGTACATCATTAAAGACACGTGATTTAAATAATTTTCCAAATAAGGGATTTTGTATAATAATAGTGATTAATTTCTTAATTTCTTTTATTTCTATTTTTAGATTAAACCTTTTTTTATGCTTCTCTATTGGAGAATGTGCCAGTAAGAATATAATGCAATGAACAAAAATCTAATTCTATAAAATTTGTTTAATAATTATAAGAGAAAAAAATATTATGACAAAAAAAAGAAAGTTAATCACATCTCTTTGATTTTGCCATCTTGTCAATTTTCATTCATGTATAAGCCTAATATCTCAAGATTTAATAATAAAATTTTATACATGTACATGTATAAAATTATCATTCAATTCAACAGAATTTAATAAATCAATTATTATTGGCTCCAAGATATTGAGTTTCAAAAGAGATTATACATAGGATAACATCTAACCTAGATCTTGTATAACTCCATGATCTGCATCTGTAATGTTCTTTTTGTCCGGGAAATTTCCTTTCACCCGAGTTTCAGAAAGTTATTTGTCAGTTACTTATGACATCGACTCTACAATTACGTATTATCGTTAAATGAAGCGTAATATTGACAACTTTCTTTATGAAAATGATTTCCATTTTTACGAATTGCGTCATAATCGGCCAGACAACTAGGTACCAATAAAAATAAATTAGAATATGAAAATAAATTCTACACGACAAAGATAAAAAAGTACTCACAACCAACAAAATTCATATCCGCATCCAGGAGCACGACATGTCATATGGTCGCACCCACCATTCTTTTCAATATAAACATTACACTTGGGACACATTTTCGTGATAGAGGCAATAAAAGCATTAGTTTCCTCCTCTAACCTCCTTATCATTTGCTCTTTCTCAAGTTCGTCCTGTCGTCGGATTTCTTCGTCCATTTCATAAACTTTTCTTTGTTCGACAAGATTATTCGCGACATTACGAATCAATGATTCGAAAAAACTCTCAAACAATTGTCTCTGTTCTTCCGTCGGTTCGATACCGCGTTCTTTTAGCCTCTTGGACATGTGGTATTGCACCATGTCTCTTGCGGTGTCGAGTGCTTCTGTTAGACAGGCGCATTGTGGACAGTTTAATGAGCCGGCGGGAATTGGGAGTGAATGTATGATGCATGATTTCTGAGAGCAAGCTTGGCAGGTCATTATTGGTGCTGCATCTTTAAGTGGATAAATACTCGGAGAATAAATAGAATATTCGTCATTAAAAGAAATTTGCTGATGTTTTACTTACCTCCTTCATAATGAATTTGACCAGAATCACATTGGGGATTCGAGCACCAACGAAAATCTGGTATTTGCGAAACCGCAGACACAAGCGAAAGTTTCTGATACCTTGATTCGAAGAATTTTATATGAATCAAGTATTCAATTTCAAAAGCCGACTGAATAATCGAAATTTAGATACCTTTTAAAAACTTCTTCAGTGGCAATTCTTCTAATAGTTTCTTCGGTTAATATATTACGACAATTTTCATCCGGGCATCTAATCTCGAAACTTCCTTTATCCTGGACTTCATGTTCAATATGCCTCGAAATACAATCTCGACAAATATTATTAGCATGCGTACAATTGCTTGTTATTTGAATAAATTGTCTCGCATCAACGGTCTCTATACACACAATGCATTCTCTCTTTGTCGACGACGGTGGTGTTAAAGTGGGGGATAGATTAGTAGAGTGTCGATTTGCTATTTGTTTGCTCGATGTTGATGAGGATGACCGAGTATGTGTCTTTGAAGTTTTAAAAAAGTTTTTAAGTGAATTTTTTGAGAACAAAGATGATGCTGACGAATTTTTTGAAGGTGGACTCGGCAATCGACCATTTAATGAATTGGCATTATTATTGTTGTTGCTGCTATTAATTGGTGTATAAGTTCGACCAGCGAAACTATCATTATCGTTGTTTTGTTCAAAATAAACTGAATCGTATGGTGGTGGAGATTCAAACTCTGCATAGAAATTATTTTCTTCTGAAGAGTGACTATTATTGAACATTTTTTTCGTCCTCAATATTTTGGATATACAAATTATATATGCTATTACAAAGAAAACCGGTGTATTTATGTATTTATGTAATGGCTACAAATATGTGATTATAAAGAAAAATCATATGTTGTGTCAATCCAATCGGATTTACTGATAATAATTATCGTTATTCCACGTAGAATCTTCGTATACAGAACGCTAATTATAGCAAAAATACATATACATATATTGAGGTACTACATGTACATGTAATAAAATTTATATTTGATATGTAAATATTGTGACCATCCCATTCTATAAATGGAAAAAAGAATAGTAATTCAAACAATAATATTAGATTAGAACCACAGATATCTGTAAATTAAAGGTATATGACTTGAGTTCTTCAAATTGCCTAACGCTAAGTTGTTAATGGAGTGACTCCATTAATATAGTTGTAATTCGCTCCAATTATGATCGACCGTCTCAAACAAATAAGAATACATAAAAATAAAAGATACGAAACATACTGAAACCCCTTATTATGACATTATGTAGCTTATTTCAGGATTTTTAGTCATATGTGACGCTTATACCACCCCCAAAAAATTTTCCCTTCGCATGTAAATGGGGCAATATCCTCTAGTATTTTGGTTATTGTTGGAATTAGGGTTAGGGTTATATAAATAACAACCATCCATGTATAATTTCAAAAGGAGCATTTTTTGCTAGAACGTAAAAGACAGTTTTATAGGCAATATTTTGTGATACAAGCTATTTTTCAAAACAAGCAATTTTGCTGTCGGATCGGTGACGGATCGAAGGCCTCTTTTTTACACATTTTTTGGGATGTCGTCATATATAATAACGAGGCCAAAAAAGATTAATTTTACAGGTTGGACATATTAAGTCAGACGATTTTTAAAGAGGAACGTTCATATTGCTGCACATGCTGCGCAAAATAAAATAATGATTCACTTTTATATCAGGATAAAATTACGTATTCCGTAAACGAATGCTATATTTCATTGTTCCATTTTTTCATTAGGTCGGCATCTTTTTCGGCGAAGTAATATTCTCTCCTTTGTACTGCGTAATTCTACAAATTAGTCTTATATAGGTTCATTTATTGCCTGCCCTTTTGATCTCATACCAATATCCTTGTTAACAAAAATCAGTTATCTCATTTGTCCTTCTCTTTTTTGGTTCTTTCAACACAAATTTCATCGATCTGAATCATTATTACTAAATACTTTTCGTCATTTTTGATCTCATACCAAAAAACTATAAATATCCTAGCCAACAAAAATCGGTTATTTCATTGTCTTTCTCTTTTTGATTCTTTCAACACAAGTTTTCAATTGATTTGAATCATTTTTACCAAATACTTTTCGTCTTTCTATTTTTCTTGATTTCAATTGATTTGAATCATTATTAACAAATACTTTTCGTCTTTCTCTTTTTCTTGAAACAAATTTCAATTGATTTGAATCATTGTTACCAAATATCCTTACAACGACTTGACATGCATTCACAAATAAACGACGATGCATAAATCGCAAAGTAGAACCGGATCGCAATTATTCGCTGAAAGTTTGACAGATGTTTTTCAAAAAATATATGAGGAAAATTTTCCTGAACGATTCGGAGGAAAAGAATGTTCAATTTGCGCTGATTGTAAAAATTCAAATGATTTTTTAAAGGCAACGTTTGAGTGTATGCACGAGTCAAACATGTGTCGAGAATGTGTCGGGAGGTATATTGAACATGAAGTACAGGATAATGGAAAATTTGAGATAAGATGTCCAGCTGAAGGGTGCCGGAAGACAATGACTGAAAAGGATGTTAAAATATTTGCAAGTAAACAAGTGTTTTCGAGGTGAGTGTTTTCTTATTGTATAGTCTGAATTATAAGGTACATAATTAATTTGAAATTCTTAAAGATATCAGAAGCTTTCGGTGGTCTCGGGTCTTTCCCAAATGCCAGATTTTCAATGGTGTTCTAATCCAGGATGTGAATCAGGACAAATTCATTACGAAGGACGTAAGTAATAATCAAAATACTGTTATCAAATTGATAAAATTGAATTTAAGTATATTCTATATTATTCAGAGACGGCACCAATAATGACGTGTCAATCCTGTTTTCAAAAAACTTGTGTGATTCACTCTCTAGCCATCAAGGATCACTCTTCAAATTGTCCACAATGCGAAAAATTAGCTCAAGCGTTCGAATCAGCACACAAACAAGTGCACGATTTCGCCACTAAAATAATTATTGAGCTAGGTCCGCAAACAGATGAAGATAAAATGTTATTTGAAAGTCTTTGCGAACCAATGATCAGGGAAATAGCATATGATATTGTTGAAGGAGGTGACGGATTAGAAGATTACGTTTGTAGGGAGGAGCAAATGAAGAAATCAGACGAAGAAACTGAAGCCCTTATTTTGTCTATATCGAAAAAGTGTCCACAGTGTAAAGCAAATATTGAAAAGAATGGAGGGTGTGATCATATGACTTGCGGCTGTGGATATGAATTTTGTTGGGAGTATGTATATTTTTGTTGTTTTTATTTTTTTGAAATATCCTTTTGACATTTTTTCATTTTTCTAATAGCTGTCTTGCAGATTACGCTTCTATTCGTAATGAAGGGAATCACTTTCATTTATCCACTTGTGCTCACTATAGAGTATTCTCATTTAAATAATTAATGAAAACAAAAAACATATTTATCATATAATAAAGACATTTTGCTCACTTACTAGAGGTAGAAACCAGATTTAATTTCTTAAAATAAATATGATTTCTATCTCTTCAATTAATTGGTATAACTTGTAAATATATGTTTTGTTGTATAAAATCATACATTTCATGGATATAGATATGTTTTACTCTAATATTATATTTAATATATGATTATAAAGAAATTAAAATTGCATTAGATTTTAAATATTGTATTTGTGTGAATTTATCTCTCTCAATTTCAAGTATATCAATATATATATATATATGTATATATAAATGTATTCTAATTATAATTTTCTTGAATTTTATATTCTGAAGAGCTCATGTATATGTAATACTAAAGTGAAATTGCATATTTGATTAATAAAAAATAATTATCCTGAATTTTTCTAGTTCAAATATGATCTTTATGTGATTTTTATAACTTTTGATCAAACTATAACTAAAAATAGTTAATTATAATAAATCAATTAATATAGTTATATTATATAATTAAGGTTGAATAAAAGTCTTTAATATCTTATTAATTCAAAATTCATTATATCTAAACTTTTTATTTTTATTCAAATTTCTCTTAATATATAGTACTTATAATAATTGTATATTTTACTTATATAGTTAGATCTTTCTAAGTATATCTGTAACAAATTTAATTTTCTCTTACAGATTATATATTGCACCACATGTAATACTGCATCACAAAAATTATCTCATAAAATCACACAGTATACTTGAGCTATTTTAGCTAAAGATAGTTTTCTTAGTAGAATTTCTCTTTTCTCTTATTCTACTAATTTAGTTAGTATATTATTATATTTATATATTTTATTTATAATTATTTATTTCTTTATTTATTCATTAATAAGCATCTTCCAGAAATATTATCATATAAGTATTATCTATTATTAATTCTATATAACATTAAATTATTATTTAAAGATACTATTTCTATTCTGTATTTTTAATAATAATAATGACAACAATATAATAAAGAATAAGTTTTAAATATAATAATCTTGTTTGTCTTGAATTAGTTTTCTGTATGAATTCTATTTTAATTAATATTACCATATATCTTGAATCTTCTGTATGAATTTTTCTAATATATTATATAATGTAACTAGAAAAATTACAACTTTGATAATAGCAGAAAAGATTAATACTATACATATCCTGTAAGATTATTTTGTTAATAATCATAAACAAGATAAAATATTATATTAATAAGTTTTAATTTTATAACTTATGATTGTTTTTATTATTTAAAAGTATTTAAATCTGAAGTTAAAAGTACAGAACAGACAGATCATATTTATACAAAAGAAATAAATATGAAATATGAATAAATTAATAATGATCTATAAATAAAGTACATATAAATTGAATAGAATTAATTAACTTAATTTGCATCTCTGGAGAGAAACTAATCATAATTCAATAAGTAATGATAATTATAAATATAATAAATTAAATATAAATAATAATAAAAAAAGAATGAATAGAATTATAAAAAAAATAATTAATTAAAATATTAATAATCTAAATTTATAATTATAATATATATGATATAATAATGTACTAAATCTAGATGTATTAAATATATAATAATTATCTATGTATCCAGAATGAAAATGATCTTCTCAAAAATGTAATACAAAGCTAATTTATTATACAAATAGCACAAAATAAAGATCTAAACTAAAAGAGATCTAAAGAAAGATAACTAATCAAAATTATTATATACTGTAACCTTACTAACTACGTGATGTAATATATCCAAATAATTCATAAAGAAGAATCAGATATAGTATTATATCAGGAAAATTCACACAGAAGATTCAAGATATAAGCGATATTATTTGAAAT